GGGCACAGTGGGTTTATGGCAAATGCTGATGGGGAATGTCTCACAGGTACCAGACCCTAGAATGGAGTTCAGTTATAAAGATACTGATATGAAAATCATCACACTGTCACTGGATTAGTTGTAGAAAAAAGACAGTAGGCAAGGGGAATGGGTAACTATGGAAGTAAACTTAGAGGAATCTGAAATTTTGAGGTGGAAAGGGAAGGAAAGAATATCACAGCAGGAGGAAACAATATAGGAAATGGGAAAGTTTCAATATGAGAATCATCGTAATTCATTTAATATGATGAAAATAGCTTTTGTAAAAGTTAAAGTATGCAAGATATAGTCCTGTGAAAACATGGTGAACAAATACACAACCAAACCAATAACAGTAGTTACTCCTGAAGGAGAGACGAGGAAGCAAGAGGATCGTGCTTCCTTAGCAGTGTATCTTAATTTCTACTAAGAAGAAGGTATTCTCAAAACCCCGAATAGCCAAAGCTCTCCTGAAAAAAAAAGAAGGGAATGGAGGCATCACACTCCCAGACTTCAAACTCTACTACAAAGCCATAATCATCAAAACTGCATGGTATTGGAACAAGAACAGACATACAGACCAATGGAATCGAATAGAAAATCCAGAAATAAACCCACAGATTTATGGTCAACTAATCTTTGACAAAGGAGCAAAAACTATGCATTGGAGCAAAGAAAGTTTGTTCAATAAATGGTGCTGGGAAAACTGGGTCGCTACATGCAAAAGAATGAAGCTTGACCACTACCTCACACCATACACAAAAATCAACTCAAAATGGATTAAAGAACTAGACATAAGACCTGAAACCATAAAATATATAGAAGGAAATATAGGCGAAACACTATGTGATTTGCACATCAAAGACATCTTTACAGACACATCACCCAAAGCAGTGATAGTGAAGGCGAAGATAAACAGATGGGACTACATCAAATTAAAGAGCTTCTGCACAGCAAAAGAGACAATAACAAAAACAAAGAGAAACCCCACCAACTGGGAGAACATTTTTGCACCCAACACTAATGATAAAGGACTGATCACAAAAATCTGCAAAGAGCTGATGAGACTCAACAACAACAAAGAAAAGAATCCAGTCAAAAAATGGGCAGAAGAGCTAAAAAGAAACTTCTCAGAAGAGGAAATGCAAATGGCCAACAGGCATATGAAAAAATGTTCAACATCACTTGTCATCAGGGAAATGCAAATCAAAACTACCATGAGATACCATCTCACACCAGTGAGAATGGCACATATTAAAAAAACTAGCAACAAAAAATGTTGGCGAGGGTGTGGAGAAGAAGGAACTCTTCTGCACTGTTGGTGGGAGTGCAAACTGGTCCAACCACTATGGAGAACTGTGTGGAGATTTCTGGACCTACTAAACATAGAGCTTCCATATGATCCAGCAATTCCACTCCTAGGAATTTACCCAAAGGACACAGAAACATCAATTCCAAAGAACACCTGCACCCCTATGTTTATAGCAGCACTGTTCACAATAGCTAAGCTTTGGAAACAACCCAAATGCCCAAAAATAGATGACTGGATCAAGAAGATGTGGTACATATATACCATGGAATATTACTCAGCATTCAAAAAAGATAAACACATGCAATTTGCAGCAACATGGATGGCGCTGGAAGGGATCATGCTCAGTGAAATAAGCCAAAAAGAAAAAGAAAAATACCGGATGGTCTCACTCATAGCAGGAATGTAGAAAACTTAAATAAGGGACCAGGAAAATGAATAACTATAAGAAAGTGAAAATCAAAATCAACAAAAAACTATGAACCAGAGACACTTTTAGGGGGGCGGGGGCGGGAGGGGAGGGATTGGGTCAGAATGGGGGGGCTGCAATTGTATGGGGAATATAACAATAAAATTTATTATCTAATAATAAAATAAATAAATAAATAAAAAGAAGAAGGTATTCTCTATGTGATTCAAAAATATTAAAAATGGAATAAATAGATAAGAAAGCACTTTTAGAATACAACCACTCTTTCAGGTAGAACATGCTCTTCCAGGTAGAGATTTGTGTTTAATACATATTGAAAAGTAATTTATTTTAGTTTCTCTCATTTATCTATCATATGAAGAATACTTCTGCATCATAAGCAAAAATGTTTCCTTTAACTCGATATTCTTTATCATAGTGCTTTAACTAAATAACGGGCATAGGGCATAGTGATAATTATTTATTTATTGCCATTGAAGAAAGTGAAAGCACTTTAGTCACACTTTTTCCTTTCCTAAGCATGTATTTAATTGTAACCTAAAGAAAGAGAAATAGGACTAGAGAGAGAAGAATCTTTTGACTAACGCAAGGACAATTTTTACATAAAATAACACAAGGTTGTGCATCTCTTTATAAATTAAGCAAACAAATTCTATTTCCTACAAAGCAAACATGGATTAAGAAAATAAAAGAATATTTTGCATGTGCAGCAATGGAAGGATTAGTCATTCTTACTTGCTTTATCTCTTTATGAAAAAGTCCAGTACAAAATTTTCATTAGTTGTCAATATTGCCTATAAGATACTCACCTTGAAAGGAGACTATGAACTTCTCTTGACACTCAGACTTACCACCATTTCTCTGAAAGCCACAAAGTTCAACTTATAATAGCACATTGGGTAATTTTGCTTATGAACAATGACCTATGATTGATTTTGTGAAACTCCCAAGATGGAGATTTTTCTTTCTGTTTCCATATCTCCCTGAAATACTGATTATAGCACAGCAAGCCACAACCTGGAGTCCTTCCAGGGATGAAAAAACAAAGAGCTTTGTTCTTTTCTTCTCCCTCCTTATGAATCACCTTTCCATAAGAACTGACTTTACTCTTGCCACCATATTAAATGAAAAGAATAAACAAATTCTCTTGAATTGTAACAAACACAACTCTTTCTGCAGATAGCATTTACTATAACAATATCAGTATTTGAGCAATTTGCAATCAAGTGACTTTCTTGTTAAAGCTTTTTTTTTTAAACATTTATTTATACAAACACCGGGTACAATCAGAAGCACGGGAGGGTGAGAGAATTCACCAGAGCTAGAGCAGGGAGCAGAACAGGCAGAAAGACAGAAGTACACTGCTGAGGGGAGCAGCGGGCAGCAGGAGAGGTCTGCACGCCATGTGGGACTCTCGCTGGTGGCCGGGGATGGAACCGGCGCTGCAGAGGCTGCGGGCAGCTTCACAACCCAGCGCTCAACCGCTGTGCCACCGGGGAGGCCCTTCCTTGTTAAAGCTTATCAGTATCTTCTTACCCCAAATCTTTTTAGTATGTGTATTTTTTAAACAACATTATTGAAGTATATTTTACATTTCATAGACTCCATCTTCAAGTATATAATTTAATGGCTTTTAGTAACTTCACCAAATGGAATAACTAACACCATAAATCAGTTTCTGAACATTTTCATTGTCCCAAATTCAGTTCCTCAGGGGTTTTAAGTTAATTTCCACCCATGCCTGTCCCCCACCTCCAGTGCTAGACAACACAAATCTCTCTGTTTCTACAAATTTTGACTTTTTCTGGACAGGTCACATAAATGGAACTATACAAATAAGGTGTTTTACAACTTGACTCAAACTTTATAGAATAAAACTAGAAAATTTCCTTTGACCTTTAAGAGAGAATCACATATTTAAGGAAATCCATCATCCTTCCAATATAATATTAAATGCTATTTAATATCAAAAAGACTTAAAACTATTAACTCTGTTCTCTAAATTTTAACATTTAAAAATCCCTGAAAATATTATCACACAGTGTTAGAAACATATATAAAATGACCATTTATCTATTTCACATGTTGGAACAGTTAAGACAGCTATGCCTAAAGTTTCAAATTATTTTAACATCTCAAACTTCATGTATAGCACAGAAATTTTCCTCTTACTTTTTAAGGAGAAGTATAATGTTTCCCTTACAGGAAAAAATTTAAATGGCCTGTTTCTTAACATATCATACCTACAGTTAATACCTACAGTTTAGTTTTTGTGTTATTTTCTTCATTGATATCCTTAAAGGAGTCAGATAAGAATATCACATGTAGTAAGAGGGACAGGAATACAGCCTTGCTAGGAATATAGCTTTGCTAGGAAGGGACCTTCCTATCAAAAACCTCATTTCTGCCTTTCATGCACCAATCTTGTCTACTGGGCTTGTATATTGTGGAAAGCAAAAAGCATTTAGTCCTTTAGATTATGGCAGGTCACGTTTGAATATGATTTTCAGTCTGTTATGGATTTTAATTATACATATCTTAATTACAAAAAAAGAACTATTAATGCATACACCTTAATTACAAAAAAAGATGTCTTGGGCCTCCCTGGTGGCGTAAGGGGTTGAGCACAGCACTGTGAAGCTATCCACAGCCTCTGCAGAACAAGTTCAATCCCTGGCCAGCCAGGGAGCTACCCACATGGTGCAGACCTCTCTTGTCTTGCCCACTCAGCAGTGTATTTTAGTCAGTCTTCATGTTCTGTTCCCCACTATGTCTCTAGTGAATCCTCTCACTACCCCTCCCCACCATATCTCTGTCCTGTACCCCAGCTCTTGTATGCATAAATAAATAAATCTTTAGAAATATATTATTTATCTATTTAATATCTGAAATATCTTTCAAGTTTCTAGAACTCTGTCAAAATTTGGTCATAGGAAGATGTCCCCTTTAATTGCAGATCATATGGACCACTGAATATATGAAAAGGCATCCAAAAAGTAACTCTTTCATCATCTAATTATGAGTTTAGTGCAGTCTCACTGATTAAATAATTTACTTTCATACAGGAAATAAGATACCCAGGAAAGCGTTTGTGATAAGAACTATGAGAAAACTGTTCAAATTTCAGTTTTACTGATCTGTATTCTGCTGGCCCCCAAGGTAGACACTGTGAACACATACAGATATGGGTCTGTGTATGAGGGCAGGCAGAATGCAACATGTCATCAAAAGAAACACACTCACCTGGATGCCAACTTGGCACCATGAGAGTCTTCTGCAGAATTCATGTCGTCCCAGTGGGGTTTTCTGCGGTTTAGCCACACACTGGCCCGAGGAATACCATCAGAAATCTCTGGGTGTGGTACTCTGAGGGCCTGAATAGATCCCTCACTCCTGGACTTTGGGATCTAGAGGAAAAATTTAAGAAAAAGAGAGAGGTGAATTCAAAATCTTTCAAATGAAGTTATTGAAGATCATTTATTAATAATCCAACCTATTATCAATAATCCAAAAAATATCAAATTAAGTATTACATTTAAAATACACATAAAAATTCTTATACTGCAAGAGATACAGGGAAGGGGAGATAGTATTTCCTAGGGGAACTTTCAAGCCACATTTGGTCCACATTTCTCTCCTGGATTCTGATTAACTCTCCTCCAAGCCCACCCCTCCTTAGAACAATCATTCTGTGTAATGAGAGACTATGGAAGTACATCAGATTGACAATATTGAGTGAAGAGAAGAAACAGTTGGAAAGAAGCAGAAAAACAAACAAACAAGGTTGAGCACCACAACAATAAAGATTTCAATTCAATGTCATAAAGGTATCTGGAAATATTTACTGCCAACAAAATAATACTAGTTTGCTAACAGCATTTCTACTATAATCCTCTTTTACAGGACAAAATTTGGTTTAATTAATTTTTGATAAGGAAATAAATAGGAAAACTAACTTTTTTAGTTCTCTCATATCTCTAGAAGCAGAGGCAATACATGTGCCAAATGAATCCCAGGTGTACTAACATCTCCTATCTGAAGTTAGACATGAACTCCAAACCCAGAAATATTTCATGTCCTCTTATTTAGATCAGAAAGAAAGAGGAGCAGAAACCAATATTCTGTTCCTGAAAATGTGTCCAAAATTTTTTCTGAATTGCAGGAAAAATTCCAAATCCTAGATCCATTATCTTTGTTACACTGGAAGTTTTTATCATCTTTAGGACATTTCTTACGCTTTCTTTTCACCTGGAATGTCAGCTGTTCATCACTGGCCACTTACCAACTGTCTAAGACCAAAACAAATCCTAATTTTCTCTAAGATTGAGGTAAGAATCCACCACCCACAAAGCTGCTCTAATTTGCCTCAAATATTAATGAATACACCACTGCTCAATCTATGCTTGATAACCTGTTTTTGAAGCCTTAATATTAGTTGTCTTGTGTTTCTAAGTTAGATGGCCTCAACCAGATCTCTAGAGGCAGATTAGGGCTTCTCCTGTTTCTAGTTCTTTCTTTATACCCCTCCCCTGTCTCTTCCTCTTCTATATTACTATTAACATGTCTAGCAAAGTTTTTAACCTATTGATAAATACTGTGAGACACACTTTTCAGCTACAAGATATTCTTAAGACACTGACTAGCCATAATTTGAACATATTCCTAAGACACTGGCTAGGACACCAGAAAATTTAAAAAGAAACATGAGGGTCTCCCTGGTGGTGCTGGGCATTGGGCACTGGACAATGGAGCTATCCACAGCCTCTGCAACACTGAGTTCAATCCCCAGTTGGCCAGGGAGATACCCACATGGTGCAGCAGACCTCTCCTGTTTCACCTGCTACTCCCCTCAGCAGTGTATTTCAGTAGATCTGCCTGTTCTGCTCCCCACTCTGTCTCTGGTAAGTCCTCTCACCCCCTACACCTCTGGCCTGTACCCCAGTTCTTGTATGTACAAATAAATACATCTTTAAAAAAAGTAATATGAGGACAATTATAAACAAGAACGTTTAATAAATTCATGCATTATGATTATAAATATTAACACAGAAATAATTTAGCAAGAAGTTACACCTAGCACAGAGCAAAGAAAACACTCAATAAAAGCAGGCTTTTATTAATACTGTTGTTATGTAAAATTTGGTCAAATCTGGTGATTACCAATTAAATGTTCATTACATTTCTTTGTATTCATAAGCCCTGGAAAATCAAGGAAAGCAATTTTAATTATAAACAAACAAAAGCATTTCTATAATACAGAGATATTTGCCAAGATTATCTGAAATATCTGAAAGAAATATTTAGATAAATAGCAAAAGAACATGAAAAGCACAAATATATACTATTACATATTTCATAAAGGGGTTCTTTTTGCATGTTATTACTTTTAGTAAGAGTGAGCATGAAAAATAAATTTTTAAAAATGAAAAAGCAAGATTTTAATCTAGTTAGCTAAAAATCTCATATGCAGAAATAATTTCTCAATATTAAAATGAATAGAAAAGTAATGGTTTAACAAAAACTTATTAAATAAAGACACAATATTTGAAGTTCAGTGATAATTTGGGGATTCTCCATTTGATTTAGCAGTTTATAGAAAGGAGAAATATTCTAGGGTAAAAACAGAATTGCAGCTTACTCTATTCTGTCAAGTTACATTAAAATAAACTACATAAGGCAAATCACTTTGAACTCAGACACCAGATACCAGCAACTGTATCACTAAGTGATACAGTTTATCTAAGTGTATTTGTGTGATAATGTAATTTCTATGGAAATAATACAGACATGACTGTCATTAACCATGAGCTTTAATATATACCGAAGAAATACAAAGAATTGAGCTGACACACAGAACAGGAAAATACCATGTAACGTTTATGAGAACAAAATTGTTAGGAAAAAGTGCTCTAACACAAACTACTAGAATATAGAGTATATATACATATTGCAAAAAGACTGTTCATTTAAAAAAAGTGACTAATATCTTCTTCAAGACGTTCTTTGAAGACTATACATTTTATTTTTTTAAGTGTATTTTTTTCAATTAGTATTTTATTTTATATAATTCTTACATCATTTTTCATTTTTGCACAATGTATGCATTTTCATTTTGGTTATATTCCCCATACAATTTCACCCCCCCCCCTTATTTTGACCCTAATCCTTCTTATCCCCAGCCCTCCTCCCCCATGCCGTAGTGTGTCTCTGGTTTATAGTTGCTTATTGATTTTGATATTTACTTTGTATTAATTAGTCTTTTTCCTGGTCCCTTATTTAGGCTTTCTAAATTCCTACTATGAGTGAGACCATCCAGTATTTTTCTTTTTCTTTCTGACTTATTTCGCTGAGCATGATCCTGAAGATTATACATTTTCATTATAGAAATGATGACTCTAGGAAAAAGAATAGTGAGGAAATTTTAAAACCATCTGTTTAACAATGTAACTTATTTTAATAAAATGTGTAAACTCTGAGGGCCTCCCAGTGGCACAGTGGTTGAGCTCTGGGTTGCGAAGCTGCCTGCAGCCTCTGCAGCGCCAGTTCAATCCCTGGCCACCGGGGAGGGTCCCACATGGCACGCAGACCTCTCTAGCTGCCCGCTGCTCCCCCAGCAGTACTTTGATCCTTCTGCCTGTTCTGCTCTCCGCTCTGGCTCTGGTGAATTCTTTCACCCTCCCGCGCTTCTGACTGTACCCAGTGCTTGCACAAATAAATAAATAAATCTTAGAAAAATAAATAAATAAAATGTGTAAACTTTGAGAAAAAGGAAGAGATTCTTTACTTTTGCGGAAATTAAGCTTTTTAGGAACATAGGATTTGAGACTTGATCTTATAGGTATAGAGGGGATGGTTTTATTTTTATGCTTCTGGGTGTTCATTTCAGACTATACACTGTGTAGTGGTGACTTTCAGGTGGTGCTCAAGGCCTCTTTCACCACAGAACCTCTGAGAAGCACGCTGACACCAGTCATACAAGGACAAGGGTACAAAGGGACATGTTATTACAGTGCTCCCTTAAAGCAGCAGCTCTCATCCAGAGTCAATTTTATCTGGAGACATTTTTGGTAGTTGTGATGGGAGAGAGGCTGCATGTCATGGAACCATGGGGTAGTGGCCAGACAATGCACAGGACTGCCTGCCATGAAAGTGATCTGGTCCAAGATGTCAGTAGAGCTGAAGTTGAGAGAACTTTCTTTAGAGGTATAACAAACCCATATTGAGACAACTCTTTTCTTTATATATTATTCTCCTGTTTCAGTTTCCCTTTTTCACTATTGGTTTGTTAAGATGTAATGGGTCAAGATAAGCTATGAATTTAGCAGAAATGGGCCAAGGAGGCCCATAGGCTACCTTATATAGGCTAGGGTAACTAGTGACTCTGTAGGGAGGGACTCCTGATAAAGTGAAACTCTGTACTATAGCAGGTGGAATCAGTGTGCTTGGAGAGACCCTCCTGCTACCCCCCTCATAACATGTGGCTGCAGGAAGCAATTTGCCGAGAATTTGGGATGCTGACTGGAGTGGCCAGTTTCTCTTTCTACTGGATGTATCCACTACTTCACACCACATGATGATGCTTGATTTTAGTCATTTCTTCATGATAACTTCTGTAGTGGAAGGTATAAACTGTAAAGGCCCCCAAAGCATTTATGAGCAATATTTTGCTCAAAAAAACTCTGCTATTGGCTACTTGAGATAAGGATCTAGGCACATGTTGTGATTTATGTGTACAACTGAAATAAAAACAATTCCAGGAATCTTAAAAAGAACACATTCCAGGCATGTATTTGCAGGTATGGAAGAGCAACCAATTGAGTAATTTTAGCTACTTTAGCATTTGAGATTCCATGGGAATAGAAACAAAAGAAGCAGTAAAATTAGGAAATGTTCTCGTAAATGCTGTTGCTGTTAAAGTTATTGAATGTTTACTGAGCATTTACTCTGTGACGGGCTCAACTCTAAGAGATTTATATAAAATAACACATTTAATTCTTGTGACAACCAAAAAAGGGAGAATAATTATTATTACCGTTTCAGAGAGAAGGAAACTGAGGCATGAAGAGTATGACTTATTTATCCCAGTAAGTGAGTGGCAAAGCTACAGTTAAGAGCCTAGATAGTTAAGCCTCAGTGCCATATTCTTTTTTTTTTTTTTTTTTAGCATTAGTAGTTAAAACTTTCTTTAAATTTACCTGTCCATCTACAGAGACACTCTACCAATATATCTGTAGAGGGAAAAATCAGTATGAAGAAACAAATTTATGTGAAAAACATGTTCATCGTTATCTCAGTAGGCCCAAAATGTAAACATTCTAAACAGTCAAATTACTGTAAATGGAAATTATGCCACATTCACATGATGGATTATTTAGTCATTAAAATATCTACAAAGCTTTTAGTGAGA